GGGCGCGCGGGCCGATCAACCATGAGGGTGAGAGGCGGCGACAGAGAAGACGGACATCACCGCTGGTGAATCGCCGGCGGCGAAGAGGAAATGGAGGAGCGGAAAGAGCGCATCCTCAGACAGACGGCCGACGCGCCGCGGGGAGCTAGAAGCCTCTACCGCCGGCGGGGCATCGCCGCTGATGGAGCCGCGGGACGCAGACGCGTTTCCCAGCGTGTAGTACGCCGACGCAAGATATCTCGGCTTTATAGAGATGTAGGTGTGGGCGGCTACTGGAACATATGTTAGTGCTACGTACATTCGCCTACCCTCAGAAAGTTGAGGCGTAACGCGCAGTGAAGGAGTCGGGAGGACCAAGACAGCGCAGCGGGGAAGACGCATCCGTCGAGTTTTTATCTAGGCGGATGACTTAATCATCCCCTAGTTGCGACGGACGGAGCGTAGAGCGTCATCGGCGAACGGAATTCGGTGGCACGGTCAGAGGTGGAGAGGCGAGGGAGACTCTCACGTGGGAGGACAGTGGAGGCTTGTGGTGTATTCCAGCCCAAATTGAGAGATCGCCCCAGGGGAGGCGTCACGCCTCTGCGTGGCGAGTACGGTAATGCACACCGAGGTCCGTCCATCTATGCACTATGCGCGAACACATCCCTTGCACCGAGGGAACAGCATTAATATCCCTAAGCCGCAGGAAGACAAGCCGACGGAACAGGCCATAGCTGTCGCAGTGTGTCGAGAGTGCCGCCCCACTGCGTCTGCCGCCGCCGCGAGAGCGGCGGATCCTGGTAACAGGGAGGAGGAGGAGAAGTCCGCGGATGACCGTAGTGCGCTGAGAAGTCGGCCGACGGCGTCCGCACATAACGACGCGTCCGACGTCGACGGCGACGGCTAATTCGGAGGCATACTCGCAATGAGACCCAAGCCGCGCTACCACAGGCGGAGGAAAGTACGCGGGACGAACGTCAGTGCCCGCTGGAAAGTCGGCCGAGGCGTCGCCCATAACGACCGCGACGTCGGACGGCGAACGTATTCGGCGAAGCCGATTACGTCGCCAATGAGACCCAGCGCCCTACCACAGGGGAGAGAGAAAGTTTACCGGGCGACGTAGGCGCGCGCTGAGAGGTCGGCCGACGGCGGTCGCCCAGCATAACGACCGCCGACGTCGACGGGCGATCGTAGATTCGGGAGCGATACGTCGCAATGCGACCCAGCGCCGTACCAAGGGAGATAAGATAGAAGTTACCGGGATGACGTTAGTGCCGCTGAAGGTCGGCCGACGGCGGTCGCAACTAACGACCGGCGACTCGGAGGCCGGGTTTCGCAGAGGCGATACGTACGCAATGAGACGCGCAGCGCCTAACCACAGGGGAAAGATGAAGACGCGGTATGCACGCGTAGTGCCGCTGGAAGGTCGGCGACGGCGGTCGCCACATAACGACGCGCCGATACGTCGACGGCGACCGTAATTTACGGGAGAGCATACGTCGCAATGGACCAGCCCGCTACACAGGGGAAGAGAGAAGTACCGGCGATGACCGGTAGTCCGCTGAGCGGAGTCGGCGACGGCGGTCGCCACATAAGACCGGGCTGTCGGCCGGCAGACGATTCGGAAGTGCCGATTAGACGTCGCAATGAGACCGCACCACACGCCGCTACCACAGAGGAGAGTGGAAGTACGGGACTGACCGTAGTGGGCGCTGGACAGGTCGGCGCGACGCGGTCGCACATAACGAACCCGCCGACGTCACGGACGGCGCGTAATTCGGAAGGCGATACGTCGCAATGAGACCCCAGGCGCTACCACAGGGGGAAAGATAGAAGACCGGATGACCGTAGTGCGCTGGAAGGTCGGCCGACGGCCAGTGCGCCCACATAACGACCGCGCCGACGTCGGACGCGACGTAATCGCGAGGCCGATACGTCGCATGAGACCAGCCGCCTACCACAGGGAGAAAGAGAAGAACGTGAAGTTTAGCGCGGGAGAGCGTGCCGCCGCTGAAGGTCGGCGCGGCGGGGCGTCCGAGCATACGGCGCCGGGCGAGGTCGGACGGCGAGCGTTAAGTCCGGGGGGAGAGGCGGGATACGCGTCGCAGGAGACCTAGCGGCGTGACCGCAGGAATGGAGAGAGGTCATACCGGGCGACCGGTTAGCGCCGAGCCTGAAAGGTTCGGCGACGTCGGTCGGCCATACGGCAACGGCCTGACGTCGGCGGCGACGTAATTCGCGGAGAGCCGATACGTCGCAGGGACCTGAGCGCGCATACGCAGGGGGACAGAACGTTAGAGGTTACCGGGGGGGACAGGTAGCGTCGTGAAAGTCGGCGACGGCGGTCGCCTATGGCGGCCGGCCGAGGCGGCGGGCGATGCATGAGTTCGGAGGCTGCTACGTCACGCGGGTGCTTTTCGGACCTGCCAAAAACGGAAGAGGTCTACCCTCGCGAAAGAGAGACTGTGCATGGAGCTGTGATGGGCAGAGTGAGAGGCATAAGAGAATCTCACAGCTGGGAATGAAGCTGGGGCGTGCGAAGCCTGTGTGGCGTCATACAATGGGGGATGACGTCAGACTGGTAACAGTGGTGGCTCGCTCAGCGTATAAAAAGGGGAGAGGTAGGGAGACAAACTCGTAGAACGTAGACAGACATTGATAAGCGATTGAAGCACAAGAGCGTAAAAATGATGGGAGAAATGATGGAAGACTTGGAGGAGGGCTACGAGTGGTCCTCGAGTGGCGACAGTAGCAGCAGCGGGAGCAGTAGTAGCGAGAGCAGCAGCACGGAAGAAGCTGAAGAAGGAGTGGCCGCCCCTAGCCCCCGTCCTCGGACGCCGGGCTACGGATGTTCACCGAGCCCCCGGCAGACAAGTCACCCCTCGCCCGCCGTATTGGCGTGGGCGAGTAAGGTGGTCGCCGAGGGTGGCGCCCCGGCGGGAGAGGAGGAGGCGGACGCCGCACCAAGGCGCGGGGGATTGGCAAGTCTCCTTGCCCCTACCGCACTCCCGGCCGAAGACGAGCCCGCCGCTCCCACACCGGGAGTGACGGCCGGCGATGACGCCGTCATCGAGATGGCCGCCGGCACCCCGGAGGGTGCCGCATGTCCCCCGCCGCCCGCCGACGGCCGCCGAGGGGTGCCGCCGTCACCGCCGCCGCGGCGAACCACGAGCGAGGGAGAGGTGACGGTCGACCCGGGGGCACGGACGGCGGCCTCGTCGGAAGGCGAGGAGACGGAGGGGAGGCAGCGGCGCCGTCGCCGGGAGTGCCGCCAAGGAAGGTCAGCGGGGGAGGCTGCCGCGGCGAGCGCTGCCGAGGAGGCCCGCCTCACCGAAGGGAAGAGGCGGAAGGCTCTGAAGGCACGTTACCGCCGGGAGCGGGTAAGGGCGAGAGCGATGACCACCGCGGCGGCGGCAGTGGCGCCGCCATCATCAACGCCGCCGGCGCGGTCCTCCGCTCCTGCGCTCCCGGCCGCCGCGAGAGCGCCGCCGGCGCGGTCATCCGCTCCTGCGCTCCCGGCCGCCGTGAGAGCGCCGCCGGCCGAGCATGCCGACACCGCCGCCGCCCGATGGGGGCCCGGCGGACGTCCGGAGCGGCGCCTCTTTGGAGGTGCCCCACTCCAGGCGGGGGCCGTGGGGTCAGGTCGATGGGCCTGGTGCGTGGCCTGCGACCGCCCCACGCTGCACGCACGTGCCCACGACGCGGAATTACACACGCGTCGTGGGCCGGTGGTGCGATGCCCTGTCGGCGGATGCAAGTTTTCCTGCCCGGCGATCGTGGAGCACCGGCTGGCGAGGCATCTCCGCGACCGCCCCCACAAACTGCGGGGCGACTATCGGCGGGACCGCTGGGAGCGTACATCCGGGGGAGAGAACCCGTCATTTCGGGCGCTCTCCGTCGGGTACCTGCGCGGTCCCGCTGACGCGCCGGCCTCGACCAGGACGCCGACGACGACCCCCGCGACGGCCGCTCATCGCCCTGCGTCCGAGCGCCCGGCGGTCCGGCCTTGCTCGGTCGTCGTCGAGCGGGCCCCGCCATCCCGACGCCCGGCGCAGAGACCGAGCGGCAGCGAGAGAGGCGGCGATCAGCCCGTGGTGGCGATCCACCATCCCGCCGACCACCCCGCGGCTCCGGCGACGACCCCCGCGGCTCCGGCGACGACCCCCGCGGCTCGGACGGCGACCCCCGCGGCTCCGGCGACGACCCCCGCGGCTCGGACGGGTGTGCGCCGGCGACGAGATAGTGTGCCGGGAGGTGTGCGTGGTTAGCGCGCGGCCGGCGAGATAGTGTGCGGCCGGGGGTGGCGTGTGTGCGCGCGGCGCGACAGAATAGTGTGGCCGGCCGGGGTGCGTGTTGCGCCGCGCGACGAGATAGTGTCGCCGGGTGCGTGTGTGCGCCGGCGGCGAGATAGGTGTGCGCGGGTGCGTAGTGT